TTGTTTCTGGTCAAGAAAAAGGTAAGGTGCATTTCATAATAATAATTCATGAATATTTTGCATGTATTAACTAAATAAATTCAATTGCTCATCGCTGTAAAAATATCCAGGTTATTTTGTATACAGTCTAATTTAAGATAGATTAAATACGTTTCTTAAATAAATATTATTCTAAGAAAAGCAAAACTGCATTTTGTTAAACAGGGATCAAACCATTCACATAGATACTAGTAATTTTGATGAAGCAAAAGATCTTTTCTGGTTAGGCAACCCAATGTCAACTTAAAGACCATGCAATTAATCCACAAATGTTATCGATGTTATTTATTGTGTTTTAGTCTTATGCAATTCAAGTAATCTTCATATATTCGTAATTTTCAGGGGCTGTTAGAAGAATGCAATAGATTCAACGCTGAATATTTGTTCCAACCTGACAAACACTATGATGTGTCTTATGATATCGGTGTGTTTCTATTATTGCAATGTTAATTTTTTTTAATATACTGTACGTGTACATACATTGGGCATTCAGTTTTTGGCGTATTCATAAATTAGCGCTACACACTTCCGCGCTTTATATTATATTCATATTTTTTCTAAGCTGGATTCATATGTAAGCTCACCGTTGTCCGGGCCAGAGCTGCTTAAATATGAAGCCCGCTTTTTAAGTACACGTACAGTATTTTAATGATGGTTTAGTGTTCATTTTTACATTTTATTCATGGCCTGTCAATTGCTAGGCAGAATACGACCCAGCGATAGGTAATACTTGCAAACGAGGTTATTAGATATAAAATGACTTTAAATAAATCATACTCAATGCGTGCTCTTGGGGGGACATAAACATAATGTACAAGCGCATATTCCTTCATAAATTAGAGAAGTTGACATGGATAAACTGAACTCTTCCTCCTCATCATCATCATATATTTGTACTTTAGTTATTAATTGGTAGCTAACATCTGTAGGCAGTAAAACATCCTGATAATACTAGTAACTATGATTGTAATATGATAACGTCGATATGTCTAATTGTATTTTTTTTTTCATGTAGAGTTTTTTTAATAAATTCTTCTTCATTAAAATATATTTTAATTCAAGTTGTAACACGTCATTTGATTGGATAGAAGATTTTATCCATTTTGTATAACATAACTTGCCAACGTCACAATGAGTTACGTCAAAAAACGTATTACTCCGCTTGACGTTACTTTTAAAATAATTTTGTTTTAGTCATATATTGTAGTCGCAAAACAACCATTTTTACTTAATTATCAATAAAGACTAATACTTGTTATCAAGAATCTCAAATGTTTGCATTCAAATGTTACGATTGTCAAAACTTTAAACATCTATTTAATGACAGTAGTTTACTCTGCGTATCGCGGGAGAGGCGGTCAATTCTGATATTCTAATGAATTTTCTATTGATTCCAGGAGATAAAACGATACAGTGTGGACGTAAAGTGGACATATTCAAATTATGGTTGATGTGGAGATCACGTGGCGATAGTGGTATGGCAAAACAGGTGGAAAATTCTTTTGAAAATGCCATGTAAGTCCTTTTTCTCCTAAACCATATTAGATTGATTGATTGTATATTGTTTAACGCTAATTCGGTAATTTTTCAACCATGTTTCGGCGGACTATTAGTTTAGATAATTGGCTTTTGAAAGTTTTTGGTTTCTCTTGCGGACCCAGTGAGCCTATTCTTTTTCGAACTCCAGAGAAACGATCTTTTACATGCCATAGGGGTTGTCATCCTTGACACGGGGCACCATAAAACGTCCGGTCCGACGGACTTATAACCATATTAGAAGACAGTTAAAACAATTGTTATTTGTTATCTATGAATTATCGTCAAGATGTTTTCCTCTGAGTTTTTGTCCTAAGATAGTTTATGTATTGTTCTTCGTCTTATGTACCTTTAAATTTTTCGATATAATGTTACAACAGGTAACAAAATTGATTTTTCTGCTTTATTCTGATTTATTTTTAACTGAGTCTACAATTTTGATCTAATTTTAGGCTCATCGTTTAGTCCGTATATTGCCTTCAATATTAAGGTGGATGCTTTGTGTATTTGTTGCAAAAAGAATAATCTTATAAAATATTTCAGAATAGTATCTTCACTAATATTATACTAACATGAGACAAATACTAGGATAATACAACTACAATTGCATGAGATTTGATAGTTTCTTTACTTTGGTTTATAAGGCATCTATTAAATGGATTGAAGAGTAGAGAAGGATTTCGTGTTGTTCTGCCAGAGGTTAGTGGATTTCAAGTGATTTCCATAGTAAATCAAACATTTATTTAAAATGGCAACGATTATACTAGCTAGTATATTTTATTTTTATGGCATCTTCCATTGATCAAAGATCGAGAATATTAACTGAAATGATAAAAATCTACAATTTAATAAATAAATTTATCTTAATGTTTACTTATATATTCTGATTTTCTATTACTAACATGATTTTTTATATATAAAATCGATTGCATATTTTCTCAGTTTCAGTGTCCTAATCTTTGTTTCTGGTATATACCCAAGAGACTCAGGGGAAAAGAGGAAAATAAGGAATGGTGGGGAGAAGTATCTAAGGTATAATTAAAAGAACACAGCGTTGATATACAAGTTCTTTACAAATAAATGAGAGTATTATTCCATAGAGGATAAGATTCTTATCAACTGGGTCAAGTTTTAATCAAAATTAAATTCAATGAGTATATTGTTTTACAATATTTCTTATCAATAAAAATGTTTTATAAAATTGTTTCATCCACTAAAAGAGTTTTTTTTATTACAATTAGTAATAAATTACTTCAATAAAAACATTTAACAAAGTTCTTACACACACATATAAAACACGTTTGCACACAATACAACAGTATAAATATTTGCTACTTTAATGAACATATGTTAAAATTTACAAAGACATAGGCGAACCTATACAAATTAGAAATGTCTTTGGTTGCTTCAACTGTAAATGGCTAAACCAAAAAAAAAAGCATTTGAACAAAGTAAGCATAAAATTTAAATCAAGTGGAATTTTTTAGATAACTTTATTTGCCTTTTTTGAAATATGAAATGTCGAACACATTTATCCAAATTTTTAATTTTATGTTTGAGTATACTTAGTAAACAAGGACAGAGTGATTTTAAAATAGATGTTTCCTTATCATTTTCATTATAAATTGCAGATTGCTCCTCAAATCAAACGAAAAATGATGGAACAAGGAACAATGATGATTGGATACAATCCCTTGACGACCAAGGGATATGTCAATTTCTTCCGCGTGATCATCACAAATCCAATGGCGACTAAAGAAGACATGGATTTTATACTTGATGAAATGGAACGTCTTGGAAGTGATCTTTAATGATGGACAAATAATTAAGAGGAAATGTCTCTATTTCTATTTTACCTTATTGATGCTTTACTGATATTTCATAGTGAAATAAAGTAAAGCAAAACTCGCTTAAATTTCACCTCTAAATGGTGTCTCTGATTCTTTTAAATTTTATAAAGTTTTGTCATTATTTGCTTTACAGTATCTTCTCTACTTCTTTGCATTGTCTAATTAAAGACAAATAAATTATCATGTATTGGAACTTATTGGTTTGTTTGGCTTCAAGAGATAGTAATAAAGAGGAACTCAGGTTGAATTTGCGTTTTATAAGTATATTTTTTTATTTTTAAAGCAAGTTATTTAGTTATTATATTTCTTCTCTCTAGTTTTAACAAGCCTTGTTGAAAAATCATTGGAAACGTTTTTCATATGAAATATAACGATAAAATATTAAATTTATCGAATAAGCCATTTTAAAAGACTTGAAAGGTTCATTATGAGTTTTGAGTAGTTATCAACTATCAAAAATTCAGATTCTGTTTGAGTAGATTCCTCTTTCTATCAAGTATCTGAATTCAATGAAATGCGGAGATAAGATCTGTAAAGTCTTAGCATGCTTTTAAGGTACAGTAAAACTATAAAAAATTAGAGTAATAAAAACTTGCACTTCTAATAATATAAGAGGTGTAATCAGGTGCCATGGAGAACCAAGGATTCCCCCTGTCGGTCGGTTATATTCGCCGTAATCTCTTTCGCTTTATCTGCTTAATGGATCCAGTATGAAATTTGCGTTAAATATAACAGTCAAAATTTAACCTAAACAGGTTATTAGTTCATACTAAGACGCTACAAAGATAATTACAATGTGCACATAGAAGGCGACCCATGTTGACAGGGGGTGCTTACCCTTCCATGGCACCTGATACCACCCTTTGCGTTAAGAAGTTTTGTTTGCTCGTTTTTATAATGAATTTTAAGCAGAATTACTGTCCGTTTGCTCAAAATCCTTTGCAGCAAATTGCACATCTATAAAAGAAATCACAGAAATAACTTATTATTCTAGAGAAAAAAATCGCTATTGCTTCAGTGATAACTTTTCCTTTTTTTAATTTCTGCGCAATCCACTGTTTTTCTCAGAAAATCGAAAATATCTTACACCAATAATATTGCGCTGTAAAAACTCGTAAGAGAAAATTCAATTGTGTGAAATACATTCCATGTTTTACAACGAACCTTTGGATGTTGGGGAGTTTGGTCTAAGCGATAACTATTACAGGATCAAGACGTAACAAATTTAACTTTTGACAATATCCCCTTAGTGTGCACGTGTTTTTGAAACTTGCTCATTTTGCATTTTTGCTTTATCTAAATTACACATCTGGGTTAAAACTAACCTAGATATATCGTAACACTTCTTCATTGAATTTGTTTTTTCTTTTATTAAATGACACTGTAAATACTTTAAAAACACGCACAGACTTTTACACACGACGCTGTCTGTGGTATGCTACCCCTATTTTATGTATCGATAAAATGTTTTCTTGAAAAGACAGATAAAAGATATTTACAAGACTCTCTTTTAATACACACGTGTTTTTATTTTGTACTCATCAACAACTGGTTATAACGCTGCCTGTGATTGGTCGAAAAAACTTTCAACGTTGCAGCACATTGAAATCCGTTAGTTCACCGAAATTTCTTGGTACAAGATCGGTGAATTCGTTTCCACAAGATTGTAATAATATTTATTACATCAAATAATTTTGCAAATGAGGTGACATTTTAATAATGAGTGGACCAGTTTTATGGACGATTTGTATATCTCTTTTCCTTTGCACAAATACATTGTCCGGTCAAGAAGTGTCTGGTAAGTGTTACTGCATTGCTCAATTTTATTCATAGAAATCTTTATTCTGCGTTGTGCAGAGCTCGTAGAAATGTTTCAAATTGCAAAACAAATGGTTTAAAATAATACTGAAACTGATGATTGAACATCTATATCCAAATGCTTTTACAATTTGATCCATTTAAAATGGGATCGAAAGCATATGCTTTTCAATTTTGCAAAATAAATCACAAAGCATTAGATAAATTAATTTATAACATTAATACATATAGTGTAAAACATGTCTTGCATTGTATACGCAGTCAAATAAAAATCTCAAAGTACATGTACTGGGAAAAACATTACAGAGGTAAGGCAACTGCTATCTGTTGTATGTATATGGTCTATATATGTTCTAGAGTTCCATGTTTGCTATGATCCTGATTTGTATTATTTAATGGACTTTTGAGCTTGAATACTATTTATCTCCATATATTTCATTTATAATTTTCACGGAAGGGACACTCCTATGCGAACCAAGCAAGCATAATCTGAATTGATACTTTACATTTTTGCACCACACCGCAAAGCATTCTACATTTACCTGTAAAAATTTTTATGTCTCTGATACTGTTATTTTGGAATTTGCTGATACTCTGATTTGTTTAAATGACGTATCTTGTAGTGCAGGTAAAAATCAGCGATGATGATCGTCTCATAACGTTTTGCATCGTTGTGCGATAGAGTTCTTACTTATTATTGAATTTACTACAAAACTACTTTTCTGCTATTGTATTTTACTATTTATATAAGAAAAAACACGTTTAAATTTGATGTTGATGCAAAGGCGTTGGCATTCTAGGAAACATACCTACAATGCAAACGCCTTGTTCCTCTTATTACCGGCTTGTTAATCCCAGCAGTCAAAAATATATGCAAGAAAACCGTTAAACAATAGATCACTTTTTTATGTATTAGTATTTTTTTCATACTAATAATATTTTCAATAATTAATTAATGTATTCAAAATGGCTGACATATTTAAAATGGCTGTTCTGTCAATATCTCAAAAATAAGTTTAACTTAACATTTAACATTTAACTTTAGATTGATCAAGGTACTAGAAATAATGGTTAGTTGCAGGCTTACACAAAATATATTCTATCATTGATAAGTTCCAATCATCATTATCATTTAAATGAAAATTAATTTGAAATTACACTGTAAAAAATGTGTTTAGATGATAGACACTTTCCTAAGCACTTTCTTGTCACACTTTTTTTTATGCGTTGAAATTCTAAACACATTGAATTTCATTACGTGTAACGGAAAGTGTTTACAGCCTAAACACTTACATGTTTAGACTTTAAACACTTTACAAAAGATGTGATGATACATGTTTACAAATTAAACACTTGGATGTTTTCGTTGTCTTCCTGCAAGAAAACTGAAAAAATAACAATTGTTTACATTTTAATATTTATTCAATGAACATTCAAACATGGATTTTTTATAAAGAATTTTAAATTAAATATACATGATATTTTTACACGCTGGTTTTAATTCTAACCAGATTAGCAAGCAGTTATTCCTCATGTCTGTATCAAGTTTAACTTCCAGAAATTTTTTACTGAACAACACACGCATAATTTGTTTTCATCTGTGACCATCAGTAGGTAATCCACTGTCATTATTCGAGAATATTTTTAGGTTGTTCAAAGCTATTACGAACAGCAGACTTCACAAAACTCAGTTTCCTCTAGAAAGTAAGAAGTGTTGAACAATGTAAGAACGATGGCATGTCATTGTGGACTTGGAGATGGCAACAGTTTCTCTGATACGTGTATTTTTGCTTTCAAGTTCGCTGTGGACCATATCCTGTAAGAAAGAAAATCAAATTTAATCAAAATATGCTCCTCACTGGCTGGATTTGTATGAACTTTTTTTCTTGTTTGATAGCTATTATTGTGCTGCTTTTATTGAACCTCGTCGATATAACCACTATTTAGTTTTGATACTGTTATAGATATTATTGATATTCTATATAATGTACTCCTTTCTAGATTTCAGGAATGCAAATTATAAGCGAAGGGAATCTTGATCTACAACTACATGTGCAAACGCATGTCTATTTACGTAGCCCATCGTGGTCAATTTATGTAAAATAAAAATAATAGTTAACATACCTTTTATCGCAGTAATGTTGCAGTTTAAATGCATTTCACAATCTCTTCATGGTTATCACTTTGATTAGCATTCACTTCCTTTAATCCATCTTCTTCTAGCTAACATTGGGATTTCCTTTGTTTCGATAACCGCTCTATTTATCATTCGAATATATATGCGTCATTTCCGGGAAGATAACTCTGCACTTCACAGAAAAATGTTCAATTTCTAAACACTTATATCTAAACATGTGTTAAATCTTAACATCATTTAGATATAACACACGTTTAGACATAAGTGTTTAGCCGTTAAACACAATCTAACACACGTTTAGACCTAAGTGTTTAGCCGTTCAACACAATCTTATACATGTTTAGGTCAAAACACGTAACGGAAGTGTTTATTTTCTAAGCGCATTTTTTACAGTGTATGGCTGCTATATTGCTTTTTACCCTCTTCATTGTTTACTTTGTAGGACATTACATATGGGATGCATATTGAGTTAATGAATTGAAAATTAAGACACCATTTTTTCTCATTTTACCTTGGATATTTTCAAGTTCTGTTTTGTGCTTTAGAGATTGCATACTTAATCGATAAGCTTTTAAATTGTTTGTGCTAATTATTTTTTTCAATCATCCAACTTCATTTAATCTTATTATGAAATCAGCCTTTATTATCTTTAGAACAGGTATATATTGTAAATTTTGAATTTTTTAATAATATTTCAAAGAACAAAGTTTTGTACATTTCCTAATCCTGCATTTTATTATGAATTTTGTATCATATTATATCTGTTGATAGTTGATTTTTTCATTTGTTTTTTTTTTAATCGTTTAAATTCAGGAATGGTTTAAGACATTATTTATCACATTCTGAAGTGCTGAAGGAGATATTCCCGGGATCTACAAAATAAATTTGAATCGGTTACTTAATGTTACCGATCTTATCTTTCATCCTTATCTCTACTCACCTCTGTACAGAGCCGAATCTACAGAGCTCATGGGAGGTCGAGCGTTAACAGTTCACATGACCCATTTTTCAAATTTAGAACGAAGAAGCTTTAAGAAGAATTGGAGCAAGAGAAACTGCCAGCTTGGCACTGTATAATTCATTGACCTTTATCAAAAGATTTGGTACACGTATGAAGTTAGTCGGCTTGTTGAGTCTCAATTAGTTGCCAAAAGATAGTTTGCAAATACATATTATACAATCGTTTTGTCTTTTTAAATATTGGTAAAAGTCGTCCAAGGTTTCTACATTTTTTTTTTAGTAAATCGAACAAAGATCTAATCAATATATATTTAAGTTTTATCAACTGATACATTTGCATGTGGCGATGTACACTAAGACCTTCAAGTTGTTTCTATGAAAGATTATCTTTTGCAAGATTTACTTCCAATACATTATTATAAAAAATAAAGACATCAAAAGGCTTGCTGTTTTAAAGGGTGGAATTAATTTGACCTTTTTGCGCTAAGATTTTATTCGGTCATTGGCATTCAAATGAAAAATGTAAATAATTTTCTAAGCAACCATTATCACTGATCACAAAAATATTTGCAGCTGTTAAAAAAATTTCCACAGTACTATGCTACAGCAAATTTGAGAAATGACGTTTTTCAAATTTATATACGGAAAAAAACTCCAAAAGAACTCAGAGCAAATTTGAAATCACAATTTAAAATGTTTCCCAAATCATCAATACATATTATTTATCCACCCTTTTATAGAACCATTCCGCATGAAAAAAAAATGCAAGATAGGCTTTTTAATTTAACAGAAACGTGTAAATACAGTTTATTTGAATGACTTTCGTTTTTTGAAAACATTCGCATTCTAAACGTTAGATCGACAGATTTCTGAAGTAGAAGGCTAGTTTTCTTATTGACAACATGCAATACAATAGCTTTATAATTTGGATTAGTTGAAAGTTTCATAGGTTTGTATTAATTGTTCATTATTTGATCTTTTTCCTTCTTAATCATAAATTGTTTTAAAAAACAGGACTATTTTTGTAGTTTGATGAAGTTTTGTCAATGAACCATACATATATTTACATTATTTAAAAAACCCACTAAACTAGAAATAATATTCAAACAGGAATTAGGACCTCTGTTTTTATATTTTGGTAAGTCACCATGAAGAGACATTGGTGTCAAACTACCACGTTCACAACGTGATAAACGGATTTTTTTCTATCACATGCCTCACGTATTCATGTTTACATACCACTTTCATCTCCAGAAACATAGTGGATGAGTCGCCCTTTTGATCCAATCCACAAAGACATGCAAAGGACCACTTTTCATTCCAAAACAGATTTATGACAAATAATTTGAAGTTTTAGGGATGTCAATAATCTCGTTTCAATACTAAGTTGGTTTCTTTTATGGAATCCTGTGGTCTTTCAATTAACATCTTATTTTCACAGGCCTTGCCAGTTGCCCAATTCTTGTTGTATTATTCAATAAAAAATGTTTAAAGTGATTATGCTTATCTTTTTTTAAATCTAAATTGATAGTTAATTGTTCTGTTTGATTCAGAATTGAGACAAACGGATGACAATTTTTATGATTAGAAGACAGGAGAAAAAAATTACTCTTTTGTGAGAACTTTTACCATTTATTGTGATTTCAGAGGTTTAGTTTGCCTACTTCTAAATTTGTATTGTTTTTCTGGACTTTGAAATGACCACAATTTCGCTGTTTTCTTAATGAATGCATTTCATAACTGATTTTTCAGACTCTTATTAGGTAAGATTTAGCATATTTTTTTATGTTTTTTTACCCATTTATTCCAAATGGATCATTTGAGATAAACATAGACAGAAAAAAAATTATTGTAACTTTATTCTTGATGCACGCTAAATTGATAGAAGAGCTACATATTCTGATTTTCTGCAGGTGTCACTATTACTTCAATAAGACATATTTTACAAAACCTGCTTGTCAATTTTTCACAACTGAAAAAATAAAAAAGACATGGACGGAGAAGGCATGCGAAATTCCTTAAGTTCGACAAGTAAGAAAGTGAAAAGTTATATAGCAATTATGGAAAGAATTCTTTTATATTTCATTAGTATAATAGGTTCATAAACTTTTTTTTTAATTTCAACTTTAACTTTTATATAAAATTAAGTATATACAAAAGTATGTTCATATATACATGTATATCTTCATTCAGCTGAATAGCATATACAGGTGTCAAACTTACATCGGGACACAAACATATACATGTTCACATCTATAGACAATTGTGAAAGTTGTTTTAATATAGATAAGAGAAAAGAGGAGAGAAAGTAAGAGAGAAAGAAACACCAAAGATGGTGGGTTTTTTCATTACATTAGGGGGGTATATCTGAGAGTTTCAAAAGTAAAAATTTCTCTATCAAGATTCTTTCCACAATAATTGTTTTTAGAGTCAGTGTACTTAGAACAGGGGGGGTTATATTTCACTGAAAAAATATAATTTTTAGTTATCAGTGTAATCAGATTTTGCACTTTATGGAAATCCCTATTCTTATGTTTTCCAAATAATATTGTTGCTCTGTCAAAAACTATAGCTATATTAAACTTACACAAAAACCACTCTTCGATATCACTCCAAAGCTCTTTTACCAAATAACATTCAACAAAAAGATGTTCAATTGACTCAATGTCAGTCTTACAGAAACTGCAACCTGGCGACTCCTTTATCATTAGTTTAAAAAGATATAAATTTGTAGGGACTATTCTATGTAAAATTTGAAATTGATGCCACTGAAGTTTAGATTCTTGTGTTAAATTTTAAATGGAAGTTCAAAAATTTTATTCCACTCGAGCATGGTGAATCGATATCCATTTTCATTCCATTTTAAAATTGAAGTACTTGTTTCTTTCTTTCTATTAATAAGAATATCATTCATGTCTTTACAACGTTTCATATTGATATAAACATCTTCACAGAACTGGGTATATTTTGGACCATATGAAAAAAACATATTCATTTGGTTTTTGTTAACAAGTCTGTCTATCACAGCCTGTTTTAAACCAGAAAATTCAACAAAGATTTCGCATATAACAATTGATAAATATCATAAATGAAATTTTATATAGCGAGAATTATTTTATGAAGTTAGACATGCTGAAATTAACGCGTTCTATGCACCAAAGTGATTAATATAATGATTTTTTAAAAAGATGTGTTTAAAGAAGCTGCTTTATAACTTCCAAAATATTTTAAATATTTATTTCAGAGCGTTTATCAAGATCTGTATTAATATTAACAGGACTAATTTTGAGCAATTTCATTTTTTTTTTTTTTTTTGAAAACCCTGAAAGCTTTGATAATATAATATTACGAATGGCTTACTTTATTTATCTTCCTTTTTTATGTCTACTTTATTTATAGTTTTTCAAGATTTCATGTAATGATGTTTTAGATTCTCAGATTTTTTTTTTTTTTGATGAATGTCAAAATTATGTCTGGAAACGATAGATAACACAAAAGATAACACCCAGCTTACGACGGCGGCTATTTTTTATAACAGCTTATCTCCACACTTCATTTCGTTTCTAATTTAGAGCAGGATGGTATCCACATGATTTAACAGATTATTTGTACTTTCTTGAAATAAATAAATGTAAGCCATGGTCTCTTGTTTTTATACAGCACTAGAATTGAGGTCTTTTTATGCATGAAGAATATGATACGATGTCATTTGAAAAATATATTTTAAAAATGATAAGCACGTTGAGAAACATAAAAATAAAGGGGGGGGGACCTTTTCATTATTTCTTGCCTTTCTTCCTTTTTTTAAAAGTTCCACACTTTTACTTCAGCGATGTGTTTTTCTAAATAAAAGAAATGAATAAGCCGTAACTTTTTGTTTTTGATTTGATTTATTTCAGTTTACAGTAATAAGCCTCATTCTAGAGATAAAATTTATATCCGATACACATATTTGCTTTTTGAAAGTCTCTATGCCGAACAAAATGACTTTTTAGTCATTTATCGTATTTAGATAATATTTTATCATCGTCATTTCCTTTTACTTCTCGGAGATACAATTTTTAAATAGAGAATAAAAATCAAAATTGATTTCTTTTAATATGTATATATATAAAGATATAAATGATATTCAAATATGTAAACACCTATATCTCAAATTTATCCATTGTTTTAGTTTTTAGAAGACTAAGAATTAGTATATTTTACTTAACAACATTTTTATTTAAATGAGTGTGCCTAAAATTTCAAAAATGTTTCATTATTATTAAGGACAGATGATACAAACAAATTTATTCTTTGAAAAAGATTTAATATCATGTCACAAGTTTAGAAAAGTGGATGGTTCTTAAAATTTTTCTTCCGAAGAACTGGAAAATGAAATAGACTTGAAAAATATTAGTTATATTTCAATAAAAAAAACAAATATAGACAAATCACATTCAGTAAAGGTTTACAGGTGAAAACAAATTTCAGAATATGTTACTTTGGTGCTAAAATGGTAATATAAACTTTAGAAAAATATATCAAGCCAGATTAATTTTAAGAGGACAACAAAATGACAAAAAATTAGCAATATCACATAGGCTGATTTTTACCATTTAGCTTTTCCTAATAAAATTCACCTGGCTTGGTATATTTTTCTTAAGTTTATATTACACTTTTATCACCATGGTAACATATTCTGAAATTTGTTTTCACCTGTAAACCTTTACTGAATGTGATTTGCCTACATTTGCTTTTTCAATGAAGTATTACTAATATTTTCTAAGTCTTTTTCATATTCCATTTCTTAGGAGAAAAAATTCTAAGAACCATCCACTTTACTAAACTTGTGACATGGTATTAAATCATTTTCAAAGAAAAAATTTGTTTGTATCATCTGTCCTTAAATGAAAATTTCTTTAAAATAAAATAATGTAAAGTTGTGAAAATGATGATGTTTTACCACTTTTTGAGGTTTTCAAAACTGTATTTTCATCCTTTAAAACTTTTGTCATCTTCTGAATAGAAACCCATGGGACAAGATGTACTTTTGAGGGAGATGTATGGAACCCTACACCATGTGAAACCTGCAAGTGTGTGAGTGGAAAATATGACTGTGTGGTAGAAAAGGACTGTGATGTGGATGCAAGTAAGATTTTTAAAAAAAATGGCCAATTATTTTTTTAATCAAATCTGTGATATTAAATCTTTTATATGTCGGTTTTACAACTTTACTGGAATAAAACATAATGAGTATTACAACTGAATATTTCAAAATCGTGTAACATCTGCGAATAAAAGAAGATATTTGTGATAAGGTAATGAGACTCCATTTTCACTGAAAATGAATATGAGTTATTAACAACTTATTACTTAACCAGCGTATAAATTTTTAATTAACAGAGACAAGGGAAATAGAAAAGGAAACTTTGACCGTAAGTATTTAATTTCAATTATCTGCCTTATATAAACATTTCAGTATTTCCAAAAATGACCTTAAACAAGAATAGTCATCAAACCGTACTAAAAGCTTGGTTCCAACTCATACAGAGATTTAGTGAAAATTATAAAATTACATGTAGATGCAAATGTATTCCTTTTTTAAATTCAATTTTCCCTGTTACTGTCAACAGATTGAAAGCATACTTTAAAATGTTGCACATTTGATAAAACCAGAAATGGTATGAAAAACTTGTATCACTGTAATAAAAAAATTTAAAGAAAATTTTAATCAGTACATTTTTCCCTAAGAGAAATATTTTCATGAATATAAAGATAAAAAAGAAATTTTATTTCACACCATTGTGAGAAATGTTTCTGAAAAAAAAGTTTCAATATTTAACTAGTGCTAATTGTAACGGGGACCGTTACAGATGTTCCCCAAACGCTCCCCATCTCCCTTTTGGTGCCATATTCCCTGTAAGCTTCATAAAATAAGACAAACTTTATGCATTTCAGACTTTAAAAACGTTTACCCAGAAGGGTACCAAGTTCATTCAAATTTTAGCATTGCACGCGTGCGCATGTGAATGGGTGTGCGTAATGACCATATCATCTTATCTACACAATCTATATACTTTAATATACTAAATATTAAAATATTTAATCCAAAAGTATTAAAAAATACGCTCATTCAAGTGTATTTTTTATTTTACTCATTCCACGTGCACGCACGTGCATACATGAGCATGGTGACATACCTACTTGTGGAAGTCCATTACATCTATCTATGTTCTAAATCCTACGCAGTTTGGTTGAAAACCAAGGGAGTTATAGCTGATTAAAATTTCAGCCAATCAGATTGCAGCGTTCGTTCACGCACGTGTATGGATGTGCATGGTGATAATACCTTCTTGAAGAAGTCCATTATATCTATCTATGTTCCAAATCTCATCCTGTTTGGTTGAAAACTAAGGGAGTTATAGCTATTTAAAGTTTCAGCCAATCAGATTGCAGCGCATTTACACGCACGCGTATGAATGTGTATGGTGACCATACCTTCTTGTAGAAGTCCATTATATCTATCTATGTTCCAAATCCCATTCTGTTTGGTTGAAAACAAGGGAGTTATAGCCATTTAAAGTTTTAGCCAATCAGATTGCAGCGCACGTGCATGCACGTGTTTACATGACAATTGTTATATGTCATATTGTAGTACATCCTGAAGTATGCCCACGTTTTAAATTTCATAGCATTTTGTCAAAAAACAGAAAAGATATTGAGATTTTTGTTTCAGCCAATCAGAGTGAAGCGCACGTGCATGCGCGTGAGTTCATGCTAATTTGACAGTGTCACATTATCTACAGTATTAATATATCTTTATATAATGAGTTTCAAATCATTTCATCAAAAAATGTAAAAGTTATAGCTATATTAAGTATATCAGTCAATTCACTCATTTCACGCGCACGCACGTGCAGGCGTATGCGCGCAAAATGACCTTCGTTCCGCACACCTACACTACACACCTATTAACCCTAAAAAGGTTTTAGCTCAGTTGGGTGAACAGTTTCTGAGAACACTCGCGGACAAAAAAAGTACCGGAGAAGAAATAAGAAAAAAAATAATAATAACTAGTGCTAATTGTAACGGGGACCGTTACAGATGTTCCCCAAACGCTCCCCAACTCCCTTTTGGTGCCATATTCCCTGTAAGCTTTATTTATTAACACAAACTCTATGCATTTGAAATTTTAACAATGTTTACCCAGAAATGTACCATGCTCATTCAAATTTTAGCATTGCACGTGTGCACATGTGAAGGCATATACGTAATGACCATGTCATCTTGTCTACACAATCTATATATTTTGATATACTAAATATTAAAGTATTTAATCCAAAAGTATTAAAAAATTCGCTCATTCAAGTGTATTTTTGATTTTACCCATTTCACGTGCACGCACGTGCATACATGAGCATGGTGACCATACCTTCTTGTAGAAGTTCATTAAATCTATCTATGTTCTAAATCCCATCCCGTTTGGTTGAAAACCAAGGGAGTTAAAACTGTTTAAAGTTTCAGCCAATCAGATTGCAGCGTACGTATACGTACATGTATGCATGTGCATGGAGACCATACCTTCTTGTAGATGTCCATTATATATATCTATGTTCCAAATCCCATCCTGTTTGGTTGAAAACCAAGGAAGTTATAACTGTTTAAAGTTTCAGCCAATCAGATTACAGCTCACGTACACGCACGTGTATGCACGGCATGGTGACCATACCTTATTGTAGAAGTCCATTTTATATATCTATGTTCCATATCCCATCCTCTTTGGTTGAAAACCAAGGGAGTTATAGCTTTTTAAAGTTTCAGCCAATCAGATTGCAGCTCACGTATACGTACATGTATGCATGTGCATGGAGACCATACCTTCTTGTAGATGTCCATTATATATATCTATGTTCCAAATCCCATCCTGTTTGGTTGAAAATCAAGGGAGTTATAGCTATTTAAAGTTTCAGCCAATCAGATTGCAGCGCATGTGCATGCACGTGTTTTCATGATAATTTCTATGTATCATGTTGTAGGATATCATAATGCATGGCTATGTTCAAAATTTCAAAGGATCTCCTCAAAAAACAAGAAAGATATTGAGACTTTAGTTTCAGCCAATCAGAGCAAAGCGCACGTGCATGCGCGTGAGATCTTGCTATTTTGACCATTTCATATTGTCTATATTACTAATATATCCTTACATTATGAGTTTCAAAGCATTTCATCAAAAATTTAAAAAGTTACGCCTATATCAATTAAATCGGTCATTTTACATGTTGCACGTGCGCGCTCTTGCAAGCACGTGCGCGCAAAATGACCTTTGTTCGGCAAATCTACATAACATGTCTATTGACCCTAAAAACATTTTACCTTAGTCGGATGTGTAGTTTACAAGATCACTCAAGGACAAAATTTTCCCAGGAATAATAATAATAATAATAATAATAATAAGAAACAGAGTAAAAACAATATGTTCCCCAACTTCGTTTGGGGAACATAACTAGTGCTAATTGTAACGGGGACCGTTACAGATGTTCCCCAAACGCTCCCCAACTCCCTTTTTGTGTCATATTCCCTGTAAGTTTCATTAAATAAGACAAACTCTATGCATCTGAAATTTTAACAATATATACAAAGAAGTGTATAAAAATCATTTAAACTTTAGCATTGCACGCGTGCACATGTGTGTGCATTTGCGTCATGACCATATCATCTTGTCTACACAATCTATATTTTTAATACACTGAATATTAAAGTATTTAATCCAAAATTATTTTAAAAATACGCTCATTCAAGTGTATGTTTGATTTTATTCATTTCACGTGCACGCACGTGCATACATGAGCATGGTGACCATACCTTCTTGTAGAAGTCCATTACATCTATCTATGTTCTAAATTCCACCCCGTTTGGGTGAAAACAAAGGGAGTTATAGCTATTTACAGTTTCAGCCAATCAGATTGCAGCACATGTACACGCACGTGTATGCATGTGCATGGTGACCATAACTACTTGTAGAAGTCCATTACATCTATCTATATTCCAAATCCCATCCTGTTTGGTTGAAAATCAAGGGAGTTATAGCTGTTTAAAGTTTCAGCCAATCAGATTGCAGCGCACGTGCATGCACGTGTTTTCATGATAATTGCTTTATTTCTTGTTGTAGGATATCCTAATGCATGGCCATGTTCAAAATTTCAAAGGATTTCGACAAAAAACAAGAAAGATATTGAGACTTTAGTTGCAGCCAATCAGAGCGAAGTGCACGTGCATGCGCGTGAGATCTTGCTATTTTCACCATGTTGTCATGTCTATACTACTAATATATCCTCACATTATGAGTTTCAAAGCATTTCATCTAAAAAAAGAAAATTTGTGGCTATATCTATTATATTGGTCATTTCACGTGTTGCACGTGCACGCTCTTGCAAGCACGTGCGCGCAAAATGACCTTGATTCCGCAAATCTACATAACATGTATACTAACCCTAAAAAGGTTTTACCTACATCGGACGAACAGTTTACAAGATCATTCCCGGACAAAAAAGTTCCAGGAAGAAGAAGAAGAAAAATAATAATAACTAGAAACTCTTGTTGCTACAGCAACAAAGAAGGTCTTCCGTTCTCCTCTATTGATGTGCATGAATGAGCTTTTATCTATGTTAAAAGGCATATAATATTTTTAATGATTCCAGGAAAACAAACAGCCGGAGGTGTAACTTACTAAGATTCGATTCTCGACGTTACTTTAGACAATATTATAGTCTTAATAACATTTACATAGAACATTTTTAATATTTTTTATTACTTTCTGTGACGACCGGAAGTGACGTCGGACGCATTTTATCCTATATCTGCTGCCCAATTTTTATGGTTTATTATTCATATAAGTTTAGTGTTTTTATCTCTTTCAGTTTAAGAGATCTCGTAATGTTATCTTCTCATTTTAAGGACAAGAAATCGCGTGACCGGAAGTAAATTTTTGAAAAGATATTTTAGGTTACTCTAGACATTTCAGTCTGAATGAAATGTCCTAAAATCATTTCATATGCTCTTTTTATAAAAAAAAATATTTATGGGATAGTACGATAATAAAATTATGCAGTTTTTCTCTCATTACCGGAAGTAGTCGTTTTTGTTTCCAGTGATACTGACATATTTCAAATTTACAAATAAGATGATATATGTATAACTAAGAAAGATTCCATAAAAAAAAATAAAATTTTTATTTATTTGTTCACTTTCTGTCACAACCGGAAGTGACGGCGGACAAGGTTAACCCAAATGAATTTGCCTACTCAGCAAGATCTACCACTCCTATAAGTTTGGTGTCTTAATATTTCACCGTTTACGAGATCTATCCATGATAAATTTTCGTTTTGAGGACAGGAAATCACCCGACCGGAATTGAATTTTACAAAAATATTTGACGTTTCTGTAGACAGTTGCAATTTGAATAACATATCCAAAAATCATTACAAATACTTTAAATGTAAAAAATATTTATGGGAAAGAAAAATACTCAAATTATGCAGTTTTTCTCTAATAACCGGAAGTTGTCGTTTTTGTTTCCGGTGGGACTGACATATTTCGAAACTACAAATTAAATGCTATAAAGAAATGCAAAAAAGTTTCAAAAAAGAAAAAGTTCAAATTTTCGATTTCTGTGATCACTTCCTGTGACGACCGGAAGTAACGGCGGACAATCTTATTCCAACTCGTTTTGCTTACTCATCAAGATCTATCACTTGTTAAAGTTTTGTGTCTTCATCTCTTACCGTTTACGAGATCTAGCTATGATAACTTTTCATTTTGAGGACAGGAAATCACGCGGCCGGAAGTGAATTTTACAAAGATATTTGACGTTACTGTAGACAGTTGAAGTGTGAATAACATATCCAAAAATGATAACAAATACTTTATATATAAAAAATATTTATGGGAAAGAAAAATACTCAAATTATGCAGTTTTTCTCTAATAACCGGAAGTTGTCGTTTTTGTTTCCGGTGAGACTGACATATTTCAAAACAACAAATAAAATGCTATAATGTGATGCAAAAAAGTTTCAAAAAAGAAAAAGTTCAAATTTTCGATTTCTTTGATCACTTCCTGTGACGACCGGAAGTGACGGCGGACAATCTTAACCCGATTGGTTTTGCCTACTTATCAAGATCTATTACTCATATAAGTTTGGTGTCTTAATCTCTTACCGTTTCTGAGATATGACTCGGACAAAACTTTTTTGAAAAAAGCGGAAATCGGACATATCTGACGACCGGAAGTGAATTTTGAAAAACTGAAAACTGCATTTGAAACATATTTTGACTCTCTATCATCTCTGAAAATCTCATGAGAATCTGTCCAGGCATCTCTGAGAAATCGTCAAAAACAAAAAGGGAAAAAAAAAATAATAAGAAAAAGAAAAAGAAAAAGAAGAAACAGTAGAATCACTATAAGGTCTTCCGTCTGAAACGGAAGACCTTAATAAGAAACAGAGTAAAAACTAGAAATTCTTGTTGCTACAGCAACAAAGAAGGTCTTCCGTTCTCCTCTATTTATATACATGAATGAGCTTTTATCTATGTTAAAAGGCATATAATATTTTTAATGATTTCAGGAAAACAAACAGCCGGAGGTGTATCTTACCAAGATTCTTTACTTTACTTTAGACAATTATAGTCTTAATAACATTTACAAAAATCATTTTCAATTTTTATCACTTCCTGTGATGACCGGAAGTGACGGCGTACGCATTTTACCCTATATTTTTTGCCCAATCTTCATGTTGTTTTATTCATATAAATTTAAAGTCTTGATCTGTTACAGTTTAAGAAATCGCGTAATATTATCTTCTCATTTTGAGGACAAAAAATCACGTGACTGGAAGTAAATTTTTGAAAAGATATTTGAGGTTACTCTAGATATTTCAGTCTAAATAACATGTCCTAAAATCATTTCTAATGCTCTTCTTATCAAAAATATTTATGGGATAGTATAATACTTAATTTATGCAGTTTTTCTTTCATAACCGGAAGTTGTCCATTTTGTTTCCAGTGGGACTGACATATTTTAAAACTACAAAAAAGATGCTATAATGTATTACTAAGAAAGATTCCATAAGAAAAGTTTTTATTCATTTGTTCACTTCCTGTGACAACCGGAAGTGACGGTGGACAATCTTTTCCTGACTTGTTTTGCCTACTTATCAAGATCTACCACTTGTAAAAGTTTGGTGTCTTAATCTCTTACCCTTTACGAGATCTAGTTATGATAACTTCTCATTTTAAGGACAGGAAATCACGCAACCGGAAGTGAATTTTATAAAGATATTTGGCGTTACTGAAGACAGTTACAGTCTTAATAACATATCCAAAATCATTACAAATTCTTCATCTATAAAAAATATTTAAAGGAAAGAAAAATACTCAAATTATGTAGCTTTTCTCTTATAACCGGAAGTTGTCTTCTTTGTTTCCGGTGTAACTGACTTATTTCAAAACTTCAAATAAGATGCTATTATGTGATAAAAAAAAGTTTCCATAAGGGAAAGTTGAATTTTGGACTTCTTTGATCACTTTCTCTGACGACCGGAAGTGACGACAGACGATCTTATCCCCCATGGAATTGCTTACTCATCAGGATATACCACTTGTACACTGTAAAAGTTTGGTGTCTTAATCTCTTACCGTTTACGAGATCTAGCTATAATAACTTCTCATTTTGAGGACAGGAAATAACCAGAAGTGAATTTAAAAAAAAATAGTTGATGTTACTGTAGACATTTGCAGTCTGAATAACATATTTAAAAAACAGTTGCAAACACATTATCTATAAAAATATATATTGGAAAGAAAATACTCAAATTATTTAGATTTTCTCTTATAACCGGAAGTTGTCGTTTTTGTTTCCGGTGGAGCTGATATATTTTGAAACTACAAATAAGGCGCTATAATGTGATGCAATAAGCGTTCCATAAAAGAAAAGTTGAAATTTCCGATTTTTTTACCACTTCCTGTGACGACCGGAAGTGACGACGGACAACCTAAACCTATATAATTTGGCCTTCTCGTCAAGATCTACCACTCCTATAAGTTTGGTGTCTACATCTCTTACCGTTTCCGAGATATAGCTATAAGAACTATTCATTTTGAGGACAGGAAATCACGCGACAGGAAGTGAATTTTCCAAAGATATTTGACGTTACTGTAGTCATTTGCAGTCTTAATAACATATCTAAAAATCATTTCAAAAACTTTATCTATAAAAAATATTTATGGGAAAGAAAAATACTGAAAATATGCAGTTTTTCTCTTAAAACCGGAAGTTGTCGTTTTTGTTTCCGGTGAGACTGACATATTTCGAAACTACGAGTAAGATGCTATAATCTGATGCAAGAAAACTTTCAAAAAAGAAAAGTTGAAATTTTCGATATTTAGGAACACTTCCTGTGACGACCGGAAGTGACGGCAGACGATCTTAACCCAAATGGATTTGCTTACTTATCAAGATTTATCATTCCTGTAAGTTTGGTGCCTAAATCTCTTACCGTTTCTGAGATCTCACTCGGATCAAATTGTTTTGAAAAAAGCGGAAATCGGGCATATCTGACGACCGGAAGTGAATTTTGAAAAAATGAAAAAAACGTCTCGGGGTATTTTCATTCTCTATCATCCCTGAAAATTTCAGGAAAATCCGTCCAGCCATCTCTGAGAAATGCTGCCGACAAGATTTGGGGAAAAAAATAATAATAAGAATAATAATAAGAAAAAACAGTAGAATCACTATAAGGTCTTCCGTCTGAAACGGAAGACCTTAACAATATGTTCCCCAACTTCGTTTGGGGAACATAATTATTCACAAACCGTAAAGCAGCCCAATTGCAAATACACTGTAGTTCAAAACTTATAATCTTAAAAAGCTTGATCAATTTATAAATCATTTACTCACTTTTGACTGAAACCTACATTTCTATATACTAGTATCAATGAACATGGCAAAATATAAATGCATCATCAGAAACAGATTTTATGTTTTGCAATGGGAAAAAATACAAAATATGTCAGAAAGTATATAAATGTTCAACAAATCTCACCTGATGAAATCTTTTATCATATTAAGCGTTCATGAAAAAATATTTATTTCAGGACGGGGCTTCTCAGTCCAGTGGCTTTGATACCCTCTTTGCTGAAGCACGGGTAGGTCTTGCTTCTAGTTCTTGTATGCTCTCGAGCAATTACTTCTCTTTTTGATGTACAGAAGTGGCAAAGTTCCCTAAGCGCACAGTCACGGTAAAAGTAAACGTTTTTTCATTAGAATGTACCTTGTTTATTTAAACTATTGAATTTTTTTCTTCCAGGCAATATCAAATAAAATTATTTGTTATGTTCACGCAAAAAATGTTTGTTTGTTTGTTTGTTTTTTTAATTTGTTGATAATAAAAAATTACCCTTTCAATAAATGTCTTAACTGAGACACGAAAAGCCAGGGTGATAAGTAAAAGGAATTCTAAAAATTCAACTAGGCTTTTTCATTTATATTCTACAGTCCGGTGTGTTAAAAGTTGTGAAATATGTAACATTACCAGGACTTCAAAATAATAAATTGTAAAAAGTGTCGTAGATGTGTCTATTATTTATGTATATGGTAATTCAAATTCAAATACTTGTTGTACTTGTTGTGTTTGAAATAAACACTTGTTGTACTTGAAATAAAGTTGTTTTACAAAGAAATCAATGAAGATGTTTTGGTCTTTTATCTTTTCTCTTTTTTTTTTCAAATGTGTTTTCATTTTGAGATAATAGTGGTTACCGGTATAAATAATCTCAAGTTGTCTAATTAATTTCTTTTAATTATTTTTCAAGATTAAACGAAGACTATAAATGAACTTTTGTTTTTGCTTTCTTACTTTATATCAGTTTTTACCTTATGTAGGGACCCCCTGGTGCTCCAGGACTGATGGGACCATCTGGAAGACAGGGACCAAGAGTAAGTGATCAGGACAAGGAGTCAAAATAAATACATATATTCAGAAAAGTTAATTTGATGCTATTAAAACAGATATTTTTCATTTAGTTATGGACGTAAAGTAATTTTGTGGTCTACGTTAACTTTTATAAATTGTTTCACAAATTAATTTTGTGAAAAACGTTTAGATATTTTTATATTCAATTTTTGAATCTTGTATAATCATTAAGTGTTCATTTTCAAAAAGGGAGATCCGGGTTCTAATGGCGTCAATGGAGTTCCAGGGCCACCCGGTCCAGCCGGTGTACCAGATATGGTAAGTCTTTTTGTTTTTATCAATTCACAGCAAAACTTCTAGATGTTGGACTCTTTTATTTGATTTGGTAAAGAACGAAAGTATTCAAGAGTAAAATATTAACTCAAAAATATTCTTTTTTATCCTTCAGCTGCCTTCTTTGACAAATGCATTGAAGTATAACATGAATATCTTTTACAAATGTTTAAACTCTGAATTTTGAAATAAGAGAAGAAAGAGTTAAAGCACAAAATTTTTCCTTTTTAATGAGAGGTTACATTGACGGGACAAAAAGATAATTTCTATTTAATACTGATGCAAAATGCATTTTATAAAGCAGGGAGTTGGTATTAAGTGATATATGATTAGAGATCAAAATCTCTATTATTACAAACTTTTGCAAAATAATTTTCATACTTTGTGTTAGTAACTATACCTTTTTACATTCTGTTTTTTATGAAACTAATCACACGATGATTATTTTCCATTAAAAAAAATCAGAAGTAGGACAATGTTTTTGAAAATCAACAATAAAATACACAGAAATATATATGTGCATGTAATCATGTAACTACTTATATCTTCTTACTGTATTGTTTCAAAGATAAAACTAAGAAGTTCATGAATATTATTAATGATCTATAAATTCTCTTTTTCTAATTCTTCTTTCAGTCAGCTGACCAGGCATATGCGAACTACTACGCCTCTGTATACGGGCCTCGATTTAAGGCTGGCGGCGCTCAATCACCACAGTATATGACCGCTAATATGGTAAAGTTAAAAATGATAAAATTTTGTAAATTGAGGTTTTATTTAACTTCTTTTTAAAGATAAATATCGTTATATCCATTTCTGTTTTTCATTAGGGACCATATGGGCCACGAGGACCGCCAGGACCATCCGGACAACCAGTGAGTCTTGATTAAACACTAAAGAGTGCTCGACTTCTTTTTCTTGACATATAAAACAATATAAACGTATAAAACAATTATGGCAATATTTCTATTATATCTTAAATTTTATTTTTATGCTAGGGTCAAAAACACTAAAAAGTGTTCGATTTTTTTCTGGTGTATACAATGATCTATCCTATAAAACAATGATGCCAATATTTTGATATCTTAATTTTTCAAATAATACGAGTTATTTTTATGCTAGGGTCAACAAGGTCTACAGGGACCAAGAGGAGAGCCAGGGGACCCAGGGCCGCCGGTAAGTTAGATCTAAACATAATAAACTGGGAAAATAAAATCATTAATTTTCGTGCAGTCGATATTTTGTACTTTGTGAAACATGAGTTCGTGTGAATAAAATATTGATGGAAAAATTAAGTATAGTGTCTTTTTAAATATCATGTTGGATACGAAAATTCAACCCCTCCCCAATAAAAATGATATCACGGTATTCAATAAAGACTATCTTTTGTAATTTCTTGTTTTTAAGTATTGATGAGAAGTAATTTTTATCAATTACATTATGCATTACTTGTATACAGATACATGTATTTGACAAGAAAACTAAGGAAAAAAAATCGCATGAATGCCAACATTTATTGGGTTTCTAACCTTATTGTTGACCCCTTTTTAGGGACAACCAGGAAGCAGAGGACCATCTGGACCCCCAGGATTAAAGGGCTTACAGGTATTTGAATGCGTCAAAAACCATGAACATGTAATGCAAACCTTTGCATTGCAAACAATTTCCAATTAAACCATTTAGTCATCCGTTGTTGATTTTGTTTAATAACTTATTGATAAGTAATTTATTTGTGAAATACTAATGCCGAAATGTTCAATTATGTTTTACAGTGTTTAAAAAATAGAGATATGCTTTTAAAGTAGTTAACACAATTAATTTTGGGAATACGTTTACGACATAGATGTAGCTTGACTATATATCATAAATACAATTTTAAGTCAAAGATTTCATTACCAGGGAGATCCAGGCAAAAATGGAGAAGTTGGTCCTCTAGGACTACCAGGAAGAAAGGTAGTTATGTTATTCGTATTATGATTATTGATGTTTCTCGCACAATGTCTTTACTTTAACCTGTATTTTTCTTTGCTATAACCATGTCTTTATTATTTTACAGGGTCCTTCTGGTGCTCCAGGAATGGCAGGAATTCCAGGCGCAAAAGGGCATAGGGTAAATAATTTTGAAGAATTCCTCAATCAGCGGGAGCGGGAATCGGTGTTTATTGCATGATGATTTTTTTTCAAATGTTCCCCATAGTGAATTTACATGTACATACGCAAATATATTTTTTATAAAAGGATATCGTTTTAAAAAGTTTTTAAATGGACTTTAAATTTGGAACCTTTGGCTAGATTTTCATTCCAGATTGAATAATATTGCACAAATTGTCTCTTCAACATTTTTGCATTGTATTTTTAAATAAAGTATATCCCTTATTTCCATCAAATTTCTTCTAATGTTCTAATATTTTTACCTTTGTAGAATTGGTATATTTGATATAACGTCTTTAAAATAAATTTGATTTAATGAAATAATATTATGTACTACAAAAGAACTATCGCAGCTTTTGAAATAACCAACTGAGAATAAAGACAAACAAAACAGGGAACAAATTAAACAGCAATAATGTAACAATACATGTATCATGATTATTCCAACTCATGCTTTTACAGGGTTTAAATGGAATTCCAGGACCAAATGGTGAGCAGGGATTTCCCGGAGAAAAGGCAAGTAAAAAAATAATTAAGTAATGTTGTTCCAATAGCTAACATTGGAACAAGTTAGCTTCATAACCCTTCATTTTAATTAGAGGTTTGTTATAAATAAAGATGATTTCTAATTATAGGGATCCATGGGACCCCCGGGCCCACCAGGAGCTCCTGGTCTTCAGGGACAGAGAGGTGTATCTGGTGAACGCGGACGTGACGGAGAGAGAGGTGCCCCTGTAAGTCATGCCTTATTTTGTGTGAAATTATAAAACTATAAAAGACAATGTATTGAACGTGAAGAAATATTAAATTCCGAAGATCAGAATATTTTATCTTCTCTTCGTATTTTTCGTTTTATCATCAAACGATAATAAGGTAACCACCAATAAATATGTATTTAATATTTTCTGGTAAAAATAGCAATTTTTTTTTCACTATGCTATTAGCCCCTATTTAGCTCTTCAGAAATGGCATTATTCTGGTCATTAGTTTTTGATATTCTTCGTTTATCAGTGTCATGCAGTGTTTAACAATACTCGTACCTACTTCTTTCCACATTGATTACTAGTATTACTAAATAAAAAATAACCGGTGATGTCCGTATCTCATGAAAGGGTCTGAATGGCGTAGATGGACTTCCCGGTCCTGTTGGTGCTCCCGGAGTGATTGGTCAATCTGGTCCACCAGGTGTGCCCGGCATCCCAGGTCCAAAGGTATCTATTCGGATAAAAATAATTGAATTACTTCCCTTATTTAAAAATCACATAAACCTTTCAGAGAAATAACTTTTGTGTACTCAGGGAGAGGCCGGAGCCCCCGGAGCTAAAGGTTCAGCAGGGCTTCAGGGAGCGCGGGGGGAGAGTGGAGTACCCGGCCCCCAGGGAGATGAAGGTGCGCCTGGAATGAATGGATTGGACGGTTCTACCGGAGAGAAAGGATCTTCTGTAAGTTTTCGATTAAGTACTACATTTTTCACAGTTTTCATACATGTGTCTGGCACATTTTTGCGTTTTAATGTTCATAAGGAGGGTATTGTTTTAAATTTAAACTTCATGGAAAATAATTTTTTTATACTGAACAGATTCACAGGCTAAGCAAAATAAATGAATATTATTCCATGCAGCTTACCGTGTTAATAAAATGTCTTTATCTTTTATAGGGTGATCCAGGTCCAGCTGGTGTGCCAGGATTTCCCGGACCAAGAGGTCCACAAGGAATCGCGGGTTCAACTGGATTCCCAGGTCCAAAAGGAGCAACTGTAAGTCTGTAAAAGTAAACATACTATATATTCCTAAATGAAAAATCAAAGTACTATTAAATTCGTTCTAGCTATAAAAATTAGGAATTTCGTACGTATTTAAGAAGGTTTTTGATATGAAAACGTAAGTTCTTTTATACTTTACTGGTTAGGTATTATTTAGAAAAAAAAACGATTGAATATTGACTATCTTGTTATTTGGTTTAATATAGGGCCAACCGGGACTACCAGGTTACAAAGGAGAACGAGGACCAAAAGGTTTGACTGGAAGTACTGGAGACAGGGGACATCCAGGAAACCCCGGACAAGAAGGGAAGCGTGTAAGTTGCAAAGTCCCAGTCTCATGATACATCGGGTTAAAAGATCAAAGATGCAAAGAAACCGTATAGATGATGATATTCAAATGACGTAATTGCTAATTTTTGTTTATCTAGGGATTGAGAGGTGCTCTTGGAGATCCCGGACAGCAAGGACCGCCAGGAGACAGGGTGAGATAAAAATATACTGTATAGTCATGCTAAGTATATGGTTTACTTAATGTTCATAGAAGTACACAATCAATTCTCATACAATAAAAAAAAGTTAATTTAAAAGTACCATAAAGTAAGAAAAAACGTTTTTCTATTCATTTAATTTGATTCCATTTCCATATATGGTGAACTGTGGATAATAAAATTTCAAGATAATACAGCTATATGAATCAGATTTCAATCCAACCGTTTGCTTCCAAATAACAATCTCTTATTATTTTATACTTTATACTTACATTTTCTCTTATTATTTTATGCTTAACACTTATATTTTCTTGTTCCTAGGGCGGCATAGGAGAAAGGGGTTTCCCAGGACCAGTTGGAGATCCAGGGTCATCAGGAGAAGAAGGAGAACCGGGACCACGAGGAAACAGAGGAGAACCTGGACCGACCGGACAACCGGGAAGAATGGGACCACCCGGTCCTAGAGGACTCAGGGTATTTAGTTGTATCACTTAACGAGAAAAATATAGAATTAAATTTAAGGAGTTTTATAAATATGATAAAGTCATATTGTTATTATGGTTATTATTCCTGTAGGTGTCTTTTGTTTATAAAAGTATTCCTAAAAATTGTTTGCATGACATTTTGTAGGGAGTGGTAGGACGGTCAGGTATGGATGGAATGCAAGGTCGTGTGGGAGAACCGGTAAGATCATCACATAAAATTTATAACTATTTCAAACAGTAAGGCTTTTTCTTGTAAAAAAAAAAAGTTTTTTTTTATCTTTCTGTTACATACCTTATGAGCATCTTCTGTCCTTAAAACTATTAAACTATCAGACAACAGGTATTGATATTTCATAAGCACGATTCAAACCCTTTTCATGATACATTTACAGCATGTTTTGAAGTGCTATTTATATATTTTGATAGGGAATAAGTGGTAACGATGGACGTCCAGGAGAGATGGGACCACCAGGAAATCAAGGTGTAACGGGTGTACAAGGCCCACAGGGACCAGCAGGCGGAAGGGTAAAAGTTGATATAAATACAATAACATTCATTTGATCATTTATTTTTGCAGTGTTTATATAAATACATGTATATACATATACACCTATTTTTCATATTTAGAAAAAAAAGTCCTCAACCTGGACAAGAGTTAATTGGTGTAACAAATGATTTATCATTATTGTTCTTTCATAAAGCAGTAGTAACATCATAATTTTAGGGACCCCCAGGAAGAGATGGAAACCCAGGAGCATCAGGCCCTGATGGACCACAGGGAGATGCTGGACCCATGGGAGAAAGTGGGCCCACAGGAAATCCTGGGCCCCAGGTGGGTATTCGACGACTTACAAGAACCTTTATAGCTATGTCAGTTCATTTGTCAGTAATAATGTAGCAACTGCTTTTCTATTGTTCATTCAGATTGATATTGAAAAGTACGTTCTAAAATTCTACGAATTATTCTATTTTAGGGAGTTGTGGGAGAACGCGGACCTCAAGGAAACCAAGGATCCAGGGGTTATCCTGTAAGTACATGGGTCTTCTTTTTTTTCTTGGTATATGAGACTAGATCTCTACTGAGGATCTCAAACAACAATAGCTTAAAACATCCTCCAAGTATTGGAAAATATAAAAATGATATAATCCAGTTTTAACAAATCTGGAAGTTGTCATTTATTCATTTTTTTTATAACCAGGGACCCCCAGGAGTTCCCGGACCACCAGGAGAAGTGGGTAAACCTGGAGATCCAGGTGCGCCAGGACTGGCTGGAAAAACTGGAAGACCTGGAGCCAACGTAAAAATTGCTTCTGAGTCTTCTTTTATATCGATAATTTTGATCTGACTTAAAACAATGAAAAAAAAGTCTACGTAGAAAGGAAAGGAACAAAGCCTGTTAATTCAAAATAGAAATTTTAAAGGCAGACCAATTTTATTTTGACAAATATTGTATTTTTATCTTTATCTAAAGGGTGAAAGAGGATTCCCTGGTGACCAAGGAGTGCCTGGAGAGGTAGGAGAACCAGGCAACCCAGGTCCAGTGGGACCATCAGGACGTGATGGAGAAAGGGTAAAGATTTAGTTTCTAGAAAAAAGACAGGAAATAATTCACTAATTCTTAAGTCCTTTTGTATAACTGAAAATGTTAATAAAGCAGTCATAAATATCCATCTGTATGATCTGTTAAATATTTCATGTATAGTACTATAGTTTGCAATAATGAATTTGGGGATGAAAAATAATTGCAGTTTTATACATTTTCAGGGAGCACCCGGATTGAAGGGGGATCGTGGTGAAGTTGGACCTATTGGACCATCCGTAAGATAACGAAAGTGAAACATACCATCAATTTTTTCTCTATGAAATGAAAAGAAAATTTATTTTAAAAAATATTTCATTTTAGGGTTTTCAAGGATCTCGTGGACCACGTGGATTAAGAGGACCCAAAGGAGAACTGGTAATGACATTATATGAAAGGATCAGAGACAATCATATAAACAATGCTTTGCGACTGAATATCATTTGAATTATAAATCAATGATGCCATTTTGAAAGTAAAAAAGAAAATCAATTATGATGAATTAATCAAAACTATTCATTAATTTAATTAATTGTCTCTATGTCGTAATTAGGGTGAGGCAGGAGCACCTGGTCCCGATGGTACACCGGGTAGAGCTGGTCCCCCTGGACCCAGAGGAGAAATGGGTGACAGGGGACCTGAAGGACTAATAGCTGAACCCGGAGAGAAAGGAGACAATGGATTAGCGGGAGAACCAGGTCCCCGGGGTGTGCCGGGAGACAGAGGCGCCCAGGGTGCAGAAGGAGAGACTGGAATTCAAGGACCTCCTGTAAGTCTCAGAAAAAGTTGAAAAAACATGAAAGATAAAGTGTGCTAGTAATAAATCTTTTAACGGCTAATCAATAAGGGATTAATCTGACATGAAGATAGATGTCTTTATTTGCTATGTCATCTCTAATTATTTTCATCAATAAATGTGTATCAATAATTTTCTTTTAAACTTTTGAACTCGTTTTTCAGTAAAAGGTTATTTCATATTTTTAAGCATATTTTTATGTTAAATACTTTAGGTATATTATATTATTTTTATAATATTTCTATTTATCGCATATATTTTCACCATATATATATTTTCACCTTATATGTATATGCCATTTTACTTAATCATAACTACAATTTTGAAAAGATTTGAATTGTTTTTAAATTCAAATAGCTAACCAAACTGCATTTTTTAAGATAACATTAAGATTGCATTTGTATTTCTTTTAATTTACCTTATAGGGACTCCCTGGTCCTGCAGGTGCTCGAGGACCCAGTGGCTTACCTGGACAAAAGGGAGAGCAGGGAGATAGTGGTATTACTGGCCCTCAAGGATCAAGAGGAACTCCTGTATGTTTAGACGGAAAAAATACAAATGAATATTCATATTTGTTCACCCAATACATTTCACACAAACACTATACTTATTATTTAGATCAAGAATAGTAATGAAGTAAAAAATTGTTGTTTAAGTTAAAATCAATTATGTGCATGCATTGAATGAAACGTAAGTCAGCTATCCAACAAAATTTGATATAAATTTACAATTCATCGAAATTCGTCAAGTGCGCAATAAATTTTACAATCATAATTACCCACTGAAATGTTTAACAAAAACATTCAGCGTATATTAAGCCGCTTATAAATTATGTGAAACCTTTACAGGGTGTTGATGGAATTCCGGGCAGTAAAGGTGAGCGTGGTGACCGGGGTATCGTCGGAATACCCGGACAGCCTGGACCAACCGGTAGAGACGGACCTCAGGGATACCCAGGAAAGTCAGGGTTACCAGGGCAACAGGGACCACCCGGCGAAGACGGACTTCCGGTTGGTTTTAACTATTTTCATTCTTCTTGTTGGAGAGCTTTCTGATTATCTCTTGTTGGTGAATTAGACTTCTGAAAGAACATTATTCATTCAACAGATATTTAAAAAAAAAAACGGGGTAAAATACCAGTATACAATGTATATTGAAACGATGATGATAGTATGCATTACATAACTGAAATTTTCTTACTAAATATCATATTTAACTGTAGAGGCATCCATAAATTTATTCTCGTGATATTGTTTTGGAGAAGTGATATCAGACAATGCTGCAAACGTAGAATGAGTTATGAAAAAAAGTCTTATGTTTTAGAATGTTATACCATGACATACAATGAAGCGCATTGAAGTGGTAAAATTTTCCGTGTGGACGAAACGTTCTGAGTCATGTTTTGAACGTCAGTTACAACATAATGACACGCCTATATTTTTAGAAACGAGAAAAAAATATTCGTCAAAATGTTTTAGGACACCCCAATCTTCGCGAAAAGCAATGTGAGTTACACTGTAAAATGGAGCTTTAAAAATTAGAAGAGAGAGTTAGAGACTCCCTGCTTCTGTAAAACTCAAATTGCAACGCATATGTACATATTTTTGAACTTATCATGTCTATTGAAGTTACCACAACACATGTTTCGGTCGAACACGTGTTTACTCGGTGTTTATTTAGACCGACAATTTCATTGGCTATTATATTTATGGAAAACCTGTTCTACAGGTATTCGAATAAACAAATTGACAGTTTTGTCCATTTCTAAAGAAATGGGCGTGTCATAAGATGACAATAAACGTTCTAAAGATAGCTCAAAACCTTCCATTCGAACGGAAAATTTTACCACTTCAATGCGCTTCATTGTATTTCCGAAACCTTTGTTGGGATCAAAATAATTTTGAAGTATCATTTTACGTAAATCCTTACAGTTCAAATCGCTGGAAATACTGGTTTAGTTCTGATTTAGGATGTCTCTCTGTTGTGAGATGATTTTTTTCAGATCAAGAGAAATGTTCTTTATTAATATTTATCTTATTTACAGGGAGTTCGCGGTGAACCTGGTCCAATGGGTCCAAGAGGAGAGGATGGTGCCCCGGGAAATCCAGGCTTACCGGGACAGAAGGGAGCAAGGGGCGAGGACGGACCAGAGGTGTTTGATTAAATTATTTTTTGAAATTGACATAATCCAAAGCTTTATACAATCAAGTTTAGGACATTTTATTTATTTTGCAATTCAGGGACCAACGGGACCTGTTGGGCCTATGGGTAATGCTGGAGATGTTGGTCTTCCAGGGGAGCCAGGAGTTCGAGGAGAGAGAGGACCAATGGGACCAGTCGGCCCAGTGGTAAATATCGAATTATTAGGTCTTTCATACTAACAAGCGTCCACTGTAATTCGTTGAAGAAATACAACAGCATTCTAGTTTTACTTTTGTTGAAAAAAAAATATAAATTGGCATTTTTGACTTCCTTTCCATTTTTACAGGGTTTACCAGGAGAACACGGAAAGCCAGGCCAGGATGGTCAGCCTGGAAAACAGGGACCACAAGGACCCCCGGGAAATCCCGGATCACCCGGAGATCAAGGCGTACCTGTGAGTTCACATTTTTTCCCCTAATGTTACATTGTTGTGGAAAGAATAATGAGTGCATTTCCTATTTTGATGAAAATTCCTTCCATAAGATTAAACATGACTTCATTATATCTTTCTTTTATGCTCATTTTCATTGTTGACCAAATTAAAAATAGAGACATTTACGATTCATTTGCCAGCATTTTAATCCAAACCTGTTAAAGATATGAAATCAATCAAACAAATTAAAAAGAACGTATAAAGCACATTTTGCTCTTGCAACAATACCAAGATGGGCAATGTTGTTAGTTTCAAAGCATGAGATTGTAAGAAATTTTTTAAAAATTCAATTTTCCTGATCAAAAATTTTAGGGTAATCCAGGACAAGATGGTGCCCCAGGAATCCCAGGACGCACTGGTGAGAAGGGACCTGGAGGAGAAATGGGACCAACTGGACCACCGGGTCTGCCAGGATTTGCTGGACCACCCGGTCCCACTGGTGCTGTTGGTCCCAGTGGCGAGAGAGGACTTAGGGTATTTCATATTTAATCACATCACTCAGAATTTAAATAAAAATTTGTAAAAGTTTCAACAATATATAAAAGTGTTTATTTAAGGAAATAAAAGGATTTTCTGATGTTTTAGGGTGAGCCTGGTCCAGCTGGTGCGCCTGGAACCCCCGGAGTCCGTGGACCCCCTGTATGTATTTAGCAGACAATGTTAAAAAAACCTTTTCTGAAATATTTCCATACCTCCAAATACAATGCATGACTTTAACTTTAAGAAAATATGCAGTTGTTGTTATGGTCTTTCTGTACAATGAATTTCGATAATTGCAAAATCTGTGTGAATAATTCATTTTATTAATGGTTTTATAGGTGTCTCAAAGATTTCTTTACAATATATAAGTAAATTATGCTAATTGTGTTCAGTTTAAAGAGCAATTGAGATTTTCTACTTTACCTACCAATCAGAGGTATCGTTCTGTATACTTATTTTGTGCCAATTCTCACTTGATTAGGGAGCAAATGGACTACAAGGTGAATCTGGAGAAAGGGGTGATGATGGCTTAGAGGTGAGTACAAATAAAATGACCATTTAGAGAAATCTTCTTTGAAGTACAAAGTGTAATTGATAATGATAAAGTCATATTTGGATTGCACTTTTTCATTAGAATGACTTTCTAAACCAACTGAAAATAATATATAAAAATTTCAATTTTATAGGGTGAAAAAGGAGACCCAGGTTTCATTGGAATGCCAGGATTGCCAGGACCAGAGGTAAAAAAAAAATTAAAAACAACACTGTTGAAAAAAGTTTTGAGATAATTTTTCGATAAATTTTATATTTTGTATTTTTATAAGATTACTCCGTCTTGTTTTTTTTTCTATTCATTGTCTGAAAAGGGGGAACAAAATTACAATATTTTGTTATGTTTTCAAATACACTTAAAAGCAGCAGCAAACCTTTGAACAGTACGTATTTGTTCACATGGGATTTTTTTCTTCCTATAGGGACCACCCGGAGAGCCTGGACCAATGGGACAGCCAGGACCCCCGGGACAAAGAGCAAGTGAAATTAAAATAAATTGATATTTTTATTATTTGTTTTTAGAATCGTTTAAATAACAGTTTATATACTTTACTCCTAATAGGGGCCTGATGGAAGAAGGGGGTCTCCTGGAGAAGAGGGTAAACCTGGGCCACCGGGTCAACAAGGACCAATGGTATTTACTTTGAATATTATTATTCAAATTAAACAGTAAGTTAAGTAAGTCGGACTATGTATATATATAACAAAGAACATGAGCTTTAAAGGTTTTTTACCAACTAGTAAAATAGAAACACATTTAGCACAAATAAAATATACATATAAGAGGAAAATTAACATATTTGAATTAACAGTATACTAGTAGTTATTTATATCATAAAACATCTTTAAAGAAGGCCTAGAAATACTCTGTGAAATATTTCCTTGTATGTCATTTTAGGGATCGCGCGGACCAAAGGGAGATGTTGGACGTCCAGTAAGTTTCATATTTATTTCTTATTGACTCAAGACTGTGAATATAACTTTAACCTAACTCATGGATCATAGACAAAGTTATCTCAACAACAATTTTCAATTTTTATTCAATTTACCTGTAAAAACTAGAAAATGTTGTAAGATAATGGAAGTGACTCACAGTGGTAATTAATTCTTTGGCTGATGACGGTAATTTTTGATGTTGTAGGGAATCATGGGAGATATGGGACCACCAGGAGCACCTGTAAGTCGCAGTTTATGCTTCACTGAATGTACATTTATAAATAAAGTGTTATATTATAAAATTTGTTTAAGCACATCAGATTTCAAAATATTTGATTTTATCTCATTTGATCGACAATCTTATTCATATACAATACTTGTAATATATTTTACATGATTTGATCAAAACCCTATCCATATACAATACCAGGGTGCCCCGGGTCAATCTGTCTACGGTGCGGCTATGCAAGGCTGGTTCCAGAGAGCCCCAGTTTACAAAGGACCCTCCTATCAAGGTGACGAGGCCGATGCTCCTCAGGTATATAAATCTGTGCACATAATGTTCAGCACTCAAGTCAAAAATAATAAAAAGGAGACTTACTTTGAGAATTCCACTTACAGGCTGAAAGTGTGTTTAAAGCACTTCAGGACGTCACTGAAGAATTACGCCTTTTGAGATACCCAGACGGCTCCAAAGAATCTCCAGCTCGCACCTGTCACGAAATCAAACAGAACAAACCGGATGCTGAGGATGGTAATACTTACGGATTTTGGAATTGCACATCTTGATCAGCGCTGTTTAAAAACTGTAACTGAATTGAATGGACATAACATTAAATACAATTCATATCCTCAATGATCATTCATAAAAATTCATGTAAATGTTTTGCATATCTATTTGTTATGGATTAATCTTCGACATTTTTGTATAAATTACCTAGTTTTTCTCCTCTATCTAGTTTTTTCTTAAAATTATTCAAATTACTTTAAACAAAGTATTGTATCTTTTAAAAGGGTTCTATTGGGTGGATCCAAACGCTGGAGTTAAGATAGATGCCATCCAAGTGTACTGCGATTTCAGAAGCAAGAAGATCCTTACCTGTGTTCTACCAGAAGTCAATAACTTTGTAAGTTGAAAAATGGTGATTATGTTATGCAGCGTAATGTAGAATATAATTATCATAAATTGTTGCACTAAAATCTTGAAGGAAGTAACCTACATATAAAAGAGAAATTTAAGAATTTGGTTATTCATGTTATTCTTGATGATAACAATTCTGGCTTTGTGACTTATTTATTTTAAGTTATTAACTAAAATGAAAAATAATTTCTACTTTAAAATATTGAGCATACGTATTGTAAGTTGTTGATATTTAAACAAATATATCGCTTAATACTAAAGAAAGTTAGTTGTTCAAAGTGTGCAAGAAATTATTTAATGCATCTTTGTTACGTTTCAGACAAATACACAAATTAACAAAGATGGAAATTCTGTTTTATGGTTCGCGGATACCTACTTACCCAAGAAAGAGGTAAGCTGGAGACTTAAAAGAAATTATTTTCGCCTCAGAATATTTTTATTAGAATGCCAATTCTACTAAGGTTTTATAGCTAAGAAACAGATTTTGCATTCACTTTCTCTATTTTTTCAGATTTCCTATCAACCCAAAATAGTTCAAATCAAATTCCTCCAAATCTTACATGACAAAGCAGAACAGCAGATTACTTACCATTGCAAGAACTCCATAGCCTATCGTGACGCACAGTCAAAGGGCAAAGACAAAGCTCTTGTCTTCTCAACATTCAACGGAGATTGGCTCGGTGCCAACAATAAAAAGAAGTTCAGATACAAGGTCTTGAGTGATGAATGCCAGGTAAATTCAATGCTTTCGATTTTATCTGAAATGATTGCAAAAACTGTAAACTAAATTTGAAGTGAAAGGGGAAAACTCGTTTCAAAATTATTCTCATCCATTTCGTGGATGTAGGCGAAAGCCTCTCCACTTCTCTAAAGAGAATACTCTAATCTTTTTAAAGTATATGTTTAGGAGCATCTTTTCTCCAATTGTTACAAGAAAAATATTTATTTCTTCTTGCAGGTGAAGAACGGAGCTTGGGGGAAGACAGTATTTGAAATTAAAACAAAGAAAACAAAACGACTACCAGTTATGGACTTTGGTATCACCGATATTGGAGGAAGCGACCAAGATTTCAGAGTGGAGCTCGGTCGTGTTTGCTTTTCATGAAGTATTACAAAAATCCATGTATATTAATTATTATTTAGCAGGGCGTCTTAAAATAGGATGAATATTTTGTGTGTTTGTTGTGTGAAAGAGGAAACCAATTCAATGTTGCTGTCCAGTTGCCATGATCATAGTAATGTCGCAGTCAGATGTTCCAACTCCGGTTTGCCATGATGCCGTGTGCTGTATTGCTATGGTTTTGATCTCACATATTACACCCTTACTTATCTGTGATAGATGTGTGCCATGATTTCATCTTTTTTTATTCTCAAAACGCTGATATTTTTATTCACTTGTTCGTCATTTAAGAATCAATACTGTTCATTTTGATAATAAAACATATCCAAAAAATAGTAAAATTTTCAATTCTTTGATTTATCATGGGTGCGATTATAATTTTAACGGTGGTAATTTATGCTTTCCCTTGCTTATAGAATGATATGAGATAATTGCTCATATAGTTTTCTTCCATTATCACTTAATTTACCTATTCACGGTCTGAAACAGTCCTTTATGGCTTAAAAAAAATCCATTTTGCTTATATAATGAGGTTTTAACAACGCTTGGATCTGTAATTCTATTCTCTGCTTTATCTGTAAAATCTTTTACTCCAGAAAAGAAAATCATTACTTCCATTATCACTTAATTTACCTATTATATTGTTTTTGTCCTGTCTGTCTGTCTGTCTGTCTGTCTGTTTGTTTGTTTGTTTGTTTGTTTGTTTGAAACAGTCCTTTATGGAATGTTACTTGTGGTTTTTAAAAAAACTCTTGACCATTTTGAATTAAAATGGTTGGGGCTATGGCTTTATAATTCATAGGTGTGTTACTTGTGACATGACCTATCTTTGGGTACCACCAAATTTGAACTCTTGACCTTGACCTTGGAGTTTGACCTACTTTTATTCTATTTGTTATCAACTTTAACCTTCGCCATAACTTTTGAACAGATCGAGATAGAGACTTCATATTTAAAATGCATACTCCACTAGATAAGCACTTTCAACTGACACCAAGGACAATGAACTTTTGACCTTGACTGTGACCTGTATGCTAAAAATAGATTTTTAGAATGGTATAACTTTTGAACCATAGGAGATAGAGACTTTATATTTGGTATGCCTACTTCACTAATTAAATGCTTTCAAACGACACCGAGGTCAATGACCTTGTGTTTGTAACCTTTATGCTAAGAATATACAGGTTTCACAAACACATCTTGTTTTTTTTCAAATCATGACCCAGAACAGGGGGTGTGAGGGTAGGGATGGACCACAATGGACGATCTTTTTCTAATATCAGAGCTGCCAACCCTTACGATTTTGGCGTAATATGTCTAAAAGCATTTCACTCTATATTCTTCCGATTTCAGTTTTTCTCCTTCAAAGTTTAAAATAATTTTCATTCATAGTTTCTACTTTTAATATATTTATAATTCTGACAATGCTTGCTTGTATCTTCGTTTCAGTTTTAAAGGCCGATCACATTCATGTCAAATGTTTTAAAGTAAACAAAATGGAAACATGCCTCAGATTGTGTGTCCATTTACAAAACATCTTCAGCGGCAATGGTCCCTAGACCCCGCCTTACTATTTGTCATTTCCGAATGTTGGCAGCTCTGTAATATTTCAGGAAAAATAAAAATCTTCTTTTTAAGAACGGCAAAGTTATACATGTATGCTATATTGATATAGTCGCATCATCAAGCAGTAAAAAATTCTCCATCCCCCCTTTTCAAGTAAACTTTTCAATACAGATCATGAGCTGATTTTTTGTGGGTTTTTTCCTAGCCCATCTGCTCTGATGGGCCATGTCGCCTATAGGCTTCTTGTTGGAATATGAAACAGATGTGTCAAACTCTTAAATGTCGAATTTCGATTTCAAAGTGATATATTGAATCAATGTAAAATTGACCTCTCATTGTTCATAAGAATTTTATTAATGGTGTAAATTATATGAGGCGCCGTTTTGTATTTACTGGTAAAAAGTGATACTGAGTATCACCTATTCGAATAGGTGATATCAGTTATTCGAATTTGTGATATCACCTATTCATTTTCAATAAGTGAATAGAAATTAAAATGAATAGGTGATATCACCTATACATATGAGTGATATCACATTTTCGTGGTGAATAGGTGATATCACCTATTTGAGTAGGTGATTTCACCTTTCAATTTGAATAGGTGATATCACCGATTTGAATTTCTTACAACAATAAATAATGAATGCTCCCTAGACCATATATAGATTACCACTGGACTACCCAGTTTTCATGCCTTTTTCACGATTTTTCTTAGAGTGTATATTATAGATATTCAGTGAAATAAATTTGTGAGCAAAGCAAACTACAGGTTTATTGGGGTTGCATAAAGTTAAATGCAAAAATGTAATCCATTGTCTCCTAGAACGATGCACTCGGAGTTCTTCGGATGGCTCGTACCTTGCACCACAGGTTCATTCTACCTATTCCCACTTTTTGAAATTCATGTAGAAAAAAGTAAGAGTTTATGTGGGAGTAGGTTGAATTGTGTGTAAACAAATAATTAACTATGTTCTTAAATTTAGGTATTAAGTATTTTTGTAAGATCTTTTTATTATTTCAAAGGGCCAAAATAAATAATATTTTCGCATCATCGCACCATTAGGTTTAGGTCGATAGTGCGATGTACAAAATACATGCGATGACGATGAGGCGATGGTGCGATAGTTATTTGCCAGTGGGCGATAGGTGGAATGAAGCGATTTTTAAAAATCGGGAATAGTGACTACCCCCCCCCCCCATCGCCATCGGATTATCGCGCCATAGCATCATCGTCATCGCGCTATCGCATCATCGCTTCATCGTTATCGCAATACCGTATAATAATAACATTATCGCGCCATCGTATTATCGCGTATTTTTTAAGTTGATGCTGAAAATTTGGTACAGTTGAAGTGCGTGGCCCTATCCGGATTCCATACACATAACCTCGGACGTCAAAGGTGTTGAATATGGAGCATAGCGGAATCAGCCGAGGATTGCTGATTGAGAATGATGAGTTATAAAACGAAAGTGAAAGTAAATAAGATTTCGGGAACTGTAATCTGAGGATCCGTAAAGTTATTATTTCATAAATAATTTGAATAGGTGATATCACCTATTCGAGTAAGTGATTTTACCTATTCAAAGTGATATGGTGGATATCACCTGTTCGAAAAGGTGATATCACCTATTCAAATAAGTATTATTGTATGATTGAATAATTCCTATCTTTCTGATTGGCTGAGATCCAACTATGTGGAAGAAATACTACGTTATAGTTAACTGCATGTGACGAAGATTTTTAAAAGATACCATTAATTTATCACAAATTTTTCTCCCCTTCATTTGAACAAACTTGAATCCCCTTTACCCAAGGATACTTTGTGGAAAGTTTGACTAAAATTGGCATGGTGGTTCTTGAGAAGAAGATGAAAATGTGAAAAGTTTACGACGACAACAACGACGACAGACAACGGACAGATTTTGATCAGAAAAAGGATCAAAGATCATCGGATGCCACTACATTTCTTCTCTTTCTTGTGTTGGTGTGAGATGTGGCGGGAAAACGTTTGTCATATTGTAAAACGCGCTTTATCCTCGTCTGTTGGAGCAAAATCTCATTATATTTTGTCTGATAATAAATTAACATTTAGAAAATTTTTAGAAAATTTTTGAAAATGCTTTTCCGGACCGGAACGAAAAATTTAAATATATACTTGTTTAATGATTTCATATCCGGACAAATGGATTATCAAACATACTGTATATACATACGTCATTTTAAAATATATAAAACAAATCTTGTTTAAATAGAGAAAGTAAAATTGTTTAATATAGACGTTTATTACACGATAAAATAATTTCCATCTCTCTGATTGGCTGAGATCCAAGTATGTTACAAATATACTACGTTGTATTGACCTGCACGTGACGTTGCAGGTGAATACAAGGATTTATTTCCTCTACATTGATCTAAAAATAGATCGGGAAGTTACAAATTGGTAAAAATTGATTTGGAAAGCTTTAAACGACAATGACTTTTTTTTCATGTGAACAAAACATAAGCGAATATATAATGTTGAATGAGGGTGGTAAAAGCTAGGGGATGCAGGAACCCCCCTTCAACACTTTTACTGAACAACAATTTTTACTTTTTGGCAGTCATTTTTCCCTGATAATACTCCTTCCTTTCAAAATCTATCCTCTAAAAAAGACTGGCATTATATATTTTATCATGACAACTAAAATTGCTAAAAAAAAATTTCAAATTGATATGTACGCAAGACGAATAGGGCCACATAAAAAAATATTTTTATCCCGTAATTACGAGAAAAGATCTCGTTATAACGAGAAAAGATCTCGTTATTACGAGTTAATCATCTCGTTATTACGAGAAAAGATCTCGTAATAACGAGAAAAGATCTCGTTATTACGAGTTAATTATCTCGTAATTACGAGAAAAGATCTCGTTATTACGAGTAAATGATCTCGTTATTACGAGAAAAGATCTCGTAATTACGAGAAAAGATCTCGTTATAACGAGTTAATTATCTTGTAATAACGAGAAAAGATCTCGTTATTACGAGTTAATTATATCGTTATAACGAGAAAAGATCTTGTTATTACGAGTTAATTATCTCGTAATTACGAGAAAAGATCTCGTTAATACGAGAAAAGATCTATAAAAAATGGTGCGTTTCATTGTTCTACTTTCTCTTAATGTAAAATGGATGAACCTACGGAATTCATAAAATTAGTAAAAGAAATATCAGAAGAAGGAGCAAAGCAGATGGAAAAAGAAAAGGCATAAATATATATTTATAATCATCTCGTAATTACGAGATCTTTTCCCGTTATAACGAGATAATTAACTCGTAATTACGAGATCTTTTCTCGTTATTACGAGATCTTTTCTCGTAATAACGAGATGATTAACTCGTAATTAGATCTTTTCTCGTAATTACGAGATAATTAACTCGTTATAACGAGATCTTTTCTCGTTATTAAGAGAACTTTTCTCGTAATAACGAGATAATTAACTTGTTATAACGAGATCTTTTCTCGTTATTACGAGATCTTTTCTCGTAATAACGAGATGATTAACTCGTAATAACGAGATCTTTTCTCGTAATTAAAAAATTAACTCGTTATACGAGATCTTTTCTCGTTATTGAGATCTAATTTATCGTAATTACGAGATAAAAATATTTTTTTATGTGGCCCTTTTCGTCTTTAACTCGTAATAAAGATCTGTTCTCGTAATTAGGAATACATTCTCGTAATAACGAGATAATTATCTCGTAATATTGAGATTTTTCCATCTTATTACAAGATA